TCCCTGACCCCAGTCCCTAAACTTAACCATTTATCCTGATCCCTAATGTTAACCTCAGACCCCCGACCCAAAGACCCCCTGGTGGCGCAACCCGGAAAAGCCGCGGGCGGCAAGGACTGACGCGAGGGGGGTACCTGATGCGTCAKAATTGGACGCAAAGGGACCTTTGAAAAACGTCAATATGTGACGACTCGGGAGTGAGAATGTGTTGGAATATTGGATACAAGCTGGTAAAAAACATTTCTATAAACACTCAAGACAGTTAAAATGACAAGCAATTGAAGATAAAATGATGAAAGTGAAAATAAAATTGGTTTAAAAATTTGGCAAGTCAGAGATGTTAAAATAATATTTGTGTCAAATAGGAGGCATAATGTGTTCTTTTATAGGGTTCTGTATGCTGTATTCATTATTAAATGCAGCAAAATAAACTGTTTCAAAGGTAACAGATCTTTGTAACACTTGGTTTATTTACATAATAACTTTAATTGCTGGATGTTCGGACCCTCAGCTGTTGGCCTGCAGTAACTGTGGCCCCCGGAGCAATTTAGTTGAATAGCCCTTATATAGACACTAAAAACACAAAGCATCTTGGTGTCCAAATGATGCTTTTTTCCCCTTACAAAATAATGGCAATAAAGTTTGTTTTTCTGTTAGTTTTTTTTTTCTAGGAAAATAAACACATTTATTCTAATAGACTTCTGTTTCCTCGTTGTTGTTTAATTAAACATTAAAGTAAAACTGCAGCATTAATCACAAGTAGGTCACTGTTTGTTCCTTTTATCGTTTAAAGCAAAGCACATTACAGACAATAACAAAGATGACATTTAGAGGTTCCATTGTGTTTTACCCTCACTCATGAGCCGTGTCAGTCCTTGAAGCGTCTAAAGCACATCTCTTTGTCTGAATATCATTTTAAATGACTTTCTAATGCTTATCTTCTTCTGAGTATTTATTTTAATAACTAGAAAAATATTAAAATCTAATTTACAGCTTTTTATCCTAACAATAACAATATGCACTATATGTTCAATAGAATGCAGATTTATGTTAATAAGTATTAGGTTAGCAGAATGAAAAGTCTTATCTTTAGGGAGTTATTTTCCAGTTTTTACTGGCATATTTTTATTTTCATTCAGTGTGGCAAAATGAAACTTTAACACAAATAGAACTTGTAGAATTATATATATA